AGATAATTTTCATTACATTTTATGTGATCATAATGCTTAGCTCCAAACGTAAACAAAAAAAGTCACTATATTTCTGGAAAAGATAGAACAGTGAGAAATGTAAGTTATACAAGTTCATAAAGGTTTGAAAATATTTTTACACCATGGAGAATTTCAATGACTTCAAAGAAGGACTGCTTCGGTCTGTCCGTCTCTCACCTTGCAGTCCATCTCAGTGGAGATCTTCTCGATCACCTTGTTCCAGTCCTGCTCCTGACCGCTGATCTTCCTCAGCAGATCCTGTATCATGTTATTGAGCTGCTCTGCCATGCTGTCGAACTGCATGCGGCTCACCTTGCTCTCCAGAGCCCGCTTGTCTGCTTTCTGAGGAGCAACGAGATGACATCCACTGACTGAGAGTGACTGTGATGGTCCAGTGGGGACCACAAAGAGTTGATGAACTTGGATTGTTTATGAACTGTATAAAGAAACAACTCACGATTTCAATCTCCATTTCCACCACTTGCTTGTCAGCTTTCTTTTCATCCAGTTCCTCCACTATCTTGAACAGACGCTGGAAAAACCACAAGCTAAGTAAGTGATGGAAGTAAATGATGTCTTATGAGGCTCTCTGTTTACTCACGTCGATGTGTGTCTGTTTCTTGCTGTGTTCCTCCATCAGGCGGTTGGATGTTCTGTGGAGTTTCTCACACTCGGACTGCAGCTGCAGTATGGCTCCCTCTAAGTCGCTCACCAGATTAGTGTTCTACAGCAAAACAACATCACACACTCATACGAGAACATTTCAGTCATCTTTTGGAAATCAGGAGACTTCAACATCTCGTTTAAGTGTTTCCTTCCAGATGTTTCCTAAAATGACTTAAGAAGAATAAATATGAAGAAGAGACATTTCATGTCTGTCTCTGTGTCATGTACCTGGTTCCTGTCCTCATGTCCCTGGTTCATGAGGTGAGTGGTCTTGTCCTCAGGTTTGCTGCATGACTGGGACAACTGACTGACCTCCTGTTCCTGACCCTGACCTCCTGTCTGCTGTTGACCCTGATCCTGACCTGCACTCTGAGCCTGATCGTCTGCTTTGCTGAAGCTTACTGCCTCCTGCTGTCCACTTTGTGAGAGTAGAGAGGATGAGGAGGACCTCATATCCTCCATCATAGCCTTGAGGCTGTTTAACTACAGGTGAACCGTAAAAAAATGAAAAGAATGTTCATGAAAAATAATAATACAGTGGTCGGATATCAGGCCGATAAGGGTGGGTGATATACTGTATAGATAATTGCAAGATATTAGTTTAATGCAAAAAAAATTATGCAGGGAAGAAATCATTTGTAATGATTTTGTAATTTTTAAGAAATCATGTAATCTTTTGTAATTAATATGTGATTAATATTTGTGGCCTGTATGTTTTTTTTTATTATTATTATTACCAAGGTTGCATTTATTTGATCAAAATATGGTAAAAATATGAATATTGTGAAATATTATTACAATTTAAAATAACTGTTTTCTAT